CCCCTCCCGCAGCAGCGGCGGCGGGGGAAGGGGGCGTGGCCTCGTGTGGGTTGTGGGCGGGGTCAGCGGCGGCGGGGGCGGGTCCCGGCGCGTCGGGTTGGTCGGGGGGCGGGGCGTGTTCGGGGGGCGGGGCTTGCTCGGGGGGCGTGGCCGCCTGCATGATCTTCTGCCGGACCTCGCGGATCTTGAGCTGGAGGCAAACTTTGGACGGGAAAATGTCCGAAAAACGGGACTGGAAAGCGGCGGTGGCCTGGGCTGGGGGAGGGGAGAGAGAGAGAGAGAGAGGTGGGAATGCGGGTGGGGAGAGAGGGAATGGGGGATGGGGGGATGGGGATGAGAGATAGGGAATGGGGGGGATGGGAATGGGGACATGAGAGAGATAGGGAATGGGGGGATGGGAGAGGGAATGGGGAGAGGGAATGGGGAGAGAGGGAATGGGGAGAGAGGGAATGGGGATAATGAGACGGAATAGGGAGAGGGAATGGGAGAGAGGGAATGGGAGAGAGGAAATGGGGGATAGGGAATGGGAATAATGAGAGGGAATGGGGAGAGGGAATGGGGAGAGAGGGAATGGGGATAATGAGAGAGGGAATAGGGAGAGGGAATGGGAGAGAGGGAATGGGGGGGTGGGAATGGGGGTGATGGGAATGGGGAGATAAGAGATAGGGAATGGGGGGATGGGAGAGGGAATGGGGAGAGGGAGTGGGGAGAGAGGGAGTGGGGAGAGAAGGAGAGAGCGAATGGGGAGAAGGAATGGGGATAATGGGAGAGAGAATGGGAGAGAGGGAATGGGGATAGGAAATGGGAATGGGGATAATGAGAGAGGGAATGGGAGGAAATGGGGAGAGACAGGAATGGGAATGAGGATAATGAAAGAGGGAATGGGAATGGGAGATAGGGAATGGGGAGAGAGGGAATGGGGAGAGACGGGAATGGGAATGAGGATAATGGAAGAGGGAATGGGAATGGAGAGAGGGAATGGGAGAGAGGAAATGGGGGAGAGGGAATGGGGATAATGAGATAGGAGAGAGAGATGGGAATGGGGATAATGAGATAGGGAATGGGGAGATAGGGAGGGAATGGGAGAGGGGGAATGGGAATGGGGAGAGAAGGAGAGGGGAGATAGGTAATGGGGAAAGGGATTGGGAATAGGGAGAGACGGATAGGCAATGGGGACAATGAGATAGGGGTAGGGAATGGGGACAATGAGAGAGGGAGAGGGATAGGGAATAGGGACAGGGAATGGGGATAATGAGATAGGGATAGGGAATGGGGACAATGAAATAGGAACAGGGAGTGGGGATAGGGAGAGGGGGATAGGGAATGGGGACAGATAGGGATAGAGGATGGATGGATGGAGAGTGAGATGGGATAGACAGGGATAGGGATGGGGAATGGGAGAGACAGGGATAGGGATGGGGAATGGGATGGGGAGAGAGGTAAGGGATACGGATGGGACATGGAGGGACAGGGATAAGGGATGGGATGGACAGAAGGATGGACAGGGACGGGGTGGTTTAGGGCTGTTTTGGGGTGGTTTAGGGCTGTTTTGGGGTGGTTTAGGTACACTTTGGGCTGGTTTGAGGCCATTTAGGGATGGTTTAGGCCCATTTCAAGGTGTTTTGGGGCCGTTTTAGGGTGCTTTAGGCCCATTTTGGGGTGGTTTTGGGCCATTTTAGGTGGTTTCGGGTCCATTTTGTGGTGGTTTAGGGCCATTTCAGGCTGGTTTAGGAACATTTCAGGCAGGTTCAGGACCATTTTGTGGTGGTTTAGGACCATTTCAGGGTGGTTTAGGACCATTTCAGGGTGTTTTGGGCTGGTTTAGGGCTATTTAGGGATACTTTGGCTCCGTTTTGGTGTGTTTTGGGTGGTTTAGGGCCATTTTAGGGCTGGTTTAGTCCCATTTTGGGCTGTTTTGGGCCCATTTGGGTGCTGTTACTGGATGGGAAGAAGCCGTGCTCCTGGAAGAGCTGCATCATGAGCAGGTCCGGGGTCCATTTTGGGGTGGTTTAGGTTCATTTTCGGGTGTTTTGGGGTCCTTTTGGCTGTTTTGGGGTGTTTTGGGGTCCTTTTGGCTGTTTTGGGGTGTTTTAGGGGTCATTTCCTGGTGTCTTGGGTCAGCTTTAGGGTGTTTTAGGGCTATTTTGGGATGGTTTGGGTCTGTTTTAGGGTGTTTTAGGGCTATTTTGGGATGGTTTGGGTCTCTTTTAGGGTGTTTTAGGGCTATTTTGGGATGGTTTGGGTCTCTTTTACGGTGTTTTAGGGCTCTTTTGGGACGGTTTGGGTCTCTTTTAGGGTGTTTTGGGTCTGGTTTAGGGCCATTTTAAGCTGTTTTGGCTCCGTTTTGGGCTGTTTTGTGGCCATTTTGGGGTGCTTCGGGTCAGTTTTAGGATGTTTTAGGGCTACTTAGAGGTGTTCTGGGTCCGTTTTAGGGTATTTTGGGATGGTTCAGGACTATTTAGGGATATTTTAGGGTCATTTCAGGGTATTTTGACTCCGTTTTAGTGTGTTTTGGGTATTTTGGGCCCATTTTGGGCAGTTTTAGGCCCATTTGGGGCTGATTTAGGCCCATTGTGGTCTCTTTTAGGCCCATTTTTGGCTGGTTTAGGTCCATTTTTGGCTGTTTTATGCCCATTTTGGTCTGCTTTAGGCCCCTTTTGTGCTGTTTTAGGCCCATTTTGTGCTGTTTTACTCCCATTTTGTGCTGTTTTACTCCCATTTTGTGCTGTTTAAGTCCATTTTGGTCTGTTTTAGGCCCATTTTGTGCTGTTTTAAGCCCATTTTGGTCTGTTTTAGTCCCATTTTGGTCTGTTTTAGTCCCATTTTGTGCTGTTTTAGTCCCATTTTGTGCTGTTTTAGTCCCATTTTGGTCTGTTTTAGTCCCATTTTGTGCTGTTTTAGCCCGTTTTGTGCTCTTTTAGTCCCATTTTGTGCCGTTTCAGCCCATTTTGTGCCATTTTAACCCCATTTTGGGCTGTTTTAGGCCCATTTTGGTCTGTTTTAAACCCATTTTGGTCTGGTTTAGGTCCATTTTGTGGTGTTTTAGGCCCATTTTTGGCTGGTTTAAGCCCATTTTGTGCTGTTTAAGCCCCTTTTGTGCTGGTTTAGGCCCATTTTGTGCTGTTTTAAGCCCATTTTTGGCTCTTTTAGAACTATTTTGTCCTGTTTTAAGCCCATTTTGGTCTGTTTTAGGCCCATTTTTGGCTGTTTTAGTCCCATTTTGGCTGTTTTAAGCCCATTTTTGGCTGTTTTACCCCATTTTGGGCTGTTTCAGGCCCATTTTGGGCTGGTTTGGACCCATTTTTGGCTGGTTTAAGCCCATTCTGGGCTGTTTCAGGCCCATTTTGGGCTGGTTTGGACCCATTTTTGGCTGTTTTAAGCCCATTTTGGGCTGTTTCAGGCCCATTTTGGGCTGGTTTGGAACCATTTTTGGCTGTTTTAAGCCCATTTTGTGCTGTTTTAGTCCCATTTTGTGCTGTTTAAGCCCATTTTGGTCTGGTTTAGGCACATTTTGTGCTGTTTTAACCCCATTTTGTGCTGTTTTAAGCCCATTTTGGTCTGTTTTAGGCCCATTTTGTGCTGTTTTTAGCCCATTTTGGGCTGTTTCAGGCCCATTTTGGGCTGGTTTGGACCCATTTTTGGCTCTTTTAACCCCATTTTGTGCTGTTTTAAGCCCATTTTGGTCTGTTTTAGGCCCATTTCGGCTGTTTTAGGCCCATTTTGTGCTGTTTTAAGCCCATTTTGGGCTGTTTCAGGCCCATTTTGGTCTGGTTTAGGTCCATTTTGGCTGTTTTAGGCACATTTTGTGCTGTTTTAACCCCATTTTGTGCTGTTTTAAGCCCATTTTGGCTGTTTTAGGCCTATTTTGGCTGTTTTAGGCCCATTTTGTGCTGTTTTAGCCCATTTTGGGCTGTTTCACGCCCATTTTTGGCTGTTTTAAGCCCATTTTGTGCTGTTTTAACCCATTTTGGTCTGTTTTAGGCCCATTTTGGCTGTTTTAGGCCCATTTTGGGCTGGTTCGGACCCATTTTGTGCCGTTACCGGATGGGAAGAAGCCGTGCTCCTGGAAGAGCTGCATCACGAGCGCCCGGCGCTGGTCCAGGGTGCGGCGCAGGGACGAGAACGGGACCTTCTCGTACTCCAGCTCCCCCAGCACATCCTCGCCCTCCCCACCTATGGCAATGGGGGGGGGGGTGTTAGAGCCCCCAGCCCCACATAAAGGGGGTGCTCCCCCCCCAATCTGACACCCAACCTCCCCCCCTCCCCCAATCTTAGGGACTCCTCCTATTATTAGGGTGACCCCTCCACCCCCCATACAGACCCCCAACTGCCCCCCCCCCCATTGGTGCTTCCCATTACAGCCCCCATAGGGACCCCAAACTCCGCCCCATAGGGATCCCCAAACCCCCCCTTCCATGGGGAACCTGCCATAATGACCCCCAACTCCTCCCTCCCCAATATTAAGAACCCCCCTATTATCAAGGTCCCAGCCCCCCATATAATCCCCATAGAGACCCCCAACTCCTCCCCCCCATCTTAAGAACCCCCTATTATCAGGGTCCCAGCCCCCCCATATAACCCCCCATAGAGACCCCCAACTCCTCCCCCCCCATCTTAAGACCCCCCTTATTATCAAGGTCCCAGCCCCCCATATAACCCCCATAGAGACCCCCAACTCCTCTCTCCCCCATCTTAAGAACCCCCCTATTATCAAGCTCCCAGCCCCCCATATAACCCCCATAGAGACCCCCAACTCCTCCCCCCCATCTTAAGACCCCCCCTATTATCAAGCTCCCAGCCCCCCATAAGAACCCCTCTTCCCCCCATCTTAAAGACCACCCTATAGGAACCCCCAGCCCCACTCCCCCCCCTTCCCAGGATGCCCCCCCCATATCCCAGCGCCACACCCCCAACTCTACCCCACACCTCAACGAGCGGGGGGGGGGGGGGATCTTGGGGTTACCCCCAACCTATCGAGGGGATGATTTTGGGGTGTCCCCCCCCCCAAACTGACCCGGCCTGTCGAAGGTGAAGATGTCGCCCTCGCACTTGGCGCTTTTGGGGGTGTTGGGTTCGGAGCCGCAGCTCGAGCGGCGCCGCAGCCTCCGCTTGGGAGAGGCCGGGTCCTCGGCCGAGGAATCCAGGTCTGGAATGGGAACGGGAATGGGAATTGGGGGGGGGGGGGGTGGACACCCCCCTGTTGGCTCATCCCCCCACCCCCCCTCCATAATCCCTATTACAGACATAGCACCATCCCCCCCCCATAGAAGTGATGCTCCCCTCAATGGTACCCCAAAACTCTGCCTCCCCCCCCCCAATCCTTTCCCACCCTCCCCCAACACTTCCCCATAGGGCCCCCAATGCCTCCCCTCCCCCATTCAGAGCCCTCCCCCCTCCATACCCATGCCCCACCCCATAAGACCCATTGACCGTTATGACCCCCCCATAAGCTCTTCCCTTATAGCCCCCCCATTATGACCCCTCCCCCAATATAACCCCTCCCCATTTAGCCCCTCCCCCCTTCTGACCCCTCCCCCATGATCCCTGCCCCAGTATGGCCCCTCCCCCCTATCTTTCCCCATTCAGACCCCTCCCCCCATAGAACCCCTCCCCCACTGACCCCATGTGACCCCTTCCCATTCATGCCCCTCCCCCACTGACCCCACGTGACCCCTCCCCATTCATGCCCCTCCCCCACTGACCCCATGTGACCCCTCCCCATTCATGCCCCTCCCCCACTGACCCCATGTGACCCCTCCACATTCATGCCCCTCCCCCACTGACCCCACGTGACCCCTCCCCATTCATGCCCCTCCCCCACTGACCCCACATGACCCCTCCCCATTCATGCCCCTCCCCCACAGAACCCCTTCCCCACTGACCCCACATGACCCCTCCCCATTCATGCCCCTCCCCCATAGAACCTCTCCTCCACTGACCCCATTTGACCCCTTCCCATTCATGCCCCTCCCCCACTGACCCCATGTGACCCCTCCTCATTCATGCCCCTGCCCCACTGACCCAATGTGACCCCTCCCCCTTCATGCCCCTCCCCCACTGACCCCACATGACCCTTCCCCATTCATGCCCCTCCCCCATAGAACCCCTCCCCCACTCACCCCTCCCCCAATGACCCCATGTGACCCCTCCCCATTCATACCCCTCCCCCCACAGAACCCCTCCCCCAATGACCCCATGTGACCCCTCCCCATTCATGCCCCTCCCCCACTGACCCCACATGACCCCTCCCCATTCATGCCCCTCCCCCAATGACCCCACATGACCCCTCCCCCATTCATGCCCCTCCCCCACTAATCCCGTGAGACCCCTCCCCATTCATGCCCCTCCCCCATAGAACCCCTCCTCCACTGACCCCATGTGACCCCTCCCCATTCATGCCCCTCCCCCAGTGACCCCATTTGACCCCTCCCCATTCATGCCCCTCCCCCACTGACCCCGTCTGACCCCTCCGCATTCATGCCCCTCCCCCACTGACCCCATGTGACCCCTTCCCGTTTATACCCCTCCCCCCACAGAACCCCTCCCCAATGACCCCTCCCCCCATAGAACCCCTCCCCCACTGACCCCATGTGACTCCTCCCCATTCATGCCCCTCCCCCCATAGAACCCCTCCCCCCATAGAACCCCTCCCCCAATGACCCCTCCCTCCACAGAGCCCCTCCCCCAATGACCCCTCCCCCCATAGAGCCCCTCCCCCACTGCCCCCACGTGACCCCTCCCCTCCCCCCCCCGCTGACCGGTGCTGTTCTTGCGCTTCTTGCGGTAGCTGCCCAGGATGGCGCGGGGGGAGGTGGCGAGGGCCTGCAGGGTGGGGGAGGGGAGAACCTCCTCGGGCCGGAACTCGGGGAGCTCCGCAAAGCGCTCCTCAAAATCCACCTCCGACAGCACCCTGGGGGGGGGGGAGGGGCGAGGGGGAGGGCAAAGAGAGGGGGGGAGGGGGGGGGGTAAATGGAGGGGGAGGGGCAATGGGGGGGTGAATGGAGGGGGAGGGGCAATAAGGGAAATGGAGGGGGAGGGGCAATGGGGAGGTGAATGGAGGGGGAGGGGCAATGAGGGGTAAATGGAGGGGGAGGGGCAAAGGGAGGGTGAATGGAGGGGGAAGGGCAAAGGGAGCAATAATGGAGGGGGCAATGGGGGTAAATGGAGGGGGAGGGGCAATGGGGGGGAAATGGAGGGGGAGGGGCAATGGGGGTAAATGGAGAGGGAGGGGCAAAGGGGGGTAAATGGAGGGGGAGGGGCAATGGGGAGGTGAATGGAGGGGGAGGGGCAATGGGGGGGTCAATGGAGGGGGAGGGGCAATGAGGGAGAGAGGGGTCATGAAGAGGGAGGGTTTATAGGAGGAGGGGCATCACACAACCCCTCCCCCCCCCCCATAGAACCATGGCCACACACCTGACCCCCACCCCCAACCCCATACCCCTCCCCCCACTCAGTCCCCAACAACAGCCCCTCCCCCCCCCAGCACCCCAAAGCCCCTCCCCCCCCGCCCTTCATGCCCCTCCCCCCCCCTTACTTGTCAACGGAGTCGAAGGTTTTCTTGAGGGGGGGGGGCCGCACTTTCACTTTCTTCCCCGCCCCTCCCCCATCCTTGCGCTCCTCGGCGGGGGGGGGCGGGGCCGGCGGGGGGGGAGGAGGGGCGGAGCTTCGGGGGGGCCCCTCCGGGTGGGGGGGGGAGGAGGAGGAAGAGGAGGAGGAGGGGCCAGGAGCGGTGGGGGGGGGCTCCGGGCGGCTCTCGGGGGGCGGCGGCCTCCACTTGGCACCCTATGGGGTTCATTAATTAATGAGGTTAATTAATGAGGGGGGGTTAATTAATAACGGGGGGGGGGGGGAGGGGCACTCACCGTGTCCCCCGAGGGGGGGGTGGGGGGCGGCTCCTCACCGGGGTCCCGTTGGCTCCAGGCCTCGGTGTTGGGGGGGGAGGGGGGCTCGTTTTGGACGGGGGGGGGAGGGGCGGGGGGGTCCCATTCGGCGGTGGGGGGAGGGGGGGTGGTGGTGGTGGAGGAGGATGAAGAAGGGGGTGGTGGGGGAGGGGCAGGGTCAGGAGGGCCA